TCAACTTTGGAAATGATCATGCAGACAATGGGCCCCGGACGAGGTGCGTTCCAATAAGTCTTCCTACCAAAATGACCATGTTGCGAAAATAACTGATAGTTTAAAAAAAGTTCTTCTTCCACAGCCGAGTTCACTTTACCCTCTTTCCTACGGAACTCTACGCTTGGACAGAACAGCTGACTTGTAGGTACGTGAACGGGCCTGTTAGTTTGTCTTCGAGTGTAGAGTCTGTAGAGTCTGGCTGCCATGGTCTGACAGTCGGTTTCCAGTCTATCAGCCTCATTGCTCCAACCTCTTTGGAATGGAGGAGGTGGGCAGATGAACCACGGCCCAGTGTGTCAAGCATGTGAAGATGCTCACCTGTACCCTCTCCCCGCCCCCACCCCCGCCCCTCCTGCACAAACAGCCTTCGGGATGCGTATGTCCTTGGCTGGCTTGTTGATTTATCCCAGGGCCAGAGGAGATGGCATGAAAGGAGACATGGGAAACCGAGCTGCGGATGGAGACTATGCACGAGAATCAGAAGCCTTGCTAATCTAGCAATTGTAGCCTAGAAAAAGAAGGCTTCCCTACATCCACTGTGCAATGTGTCTTTTTTTCAGGATCACATGTGCTATTCATGATATTAAGGTCTGTTGATTTAGTCCAAGCCGGGCAAATCGGCCGGTCTGGCATGGAATAAGAGTGCCATAACCGAGTGATACAGATACAGATTTATAAAAAAAAGCAAGCTTAATAAGTTCGTTTTGACGGTAATTTTATCTTTTCCGCGTTAGTCACGTTGAGTGAGCATTTTTTGCAACTGCCCAACTATGGTATACTCGGAGTACACCATGTGCATATTTTGCTTGCTGGTGTGAATAGTTAAGATGGCCTGCATCTGCTAAACTGTACAAAAACTTGTCTATCCTCACTTATGCTGCCTGATTAGCATCGTCCATGGCCTGGTTTAAAATATGGACAAATAAATGCAAAAATGAAACCTTTCGACACAAAATTTAGGTTTTTCATTCAGAATAGATTCACTTATTAACCTATTAGAGCATACAACCACTTGGCCGTCTGGATATGCATTAAAAATGCGTCTGGAGCATAATTACTTTCTGCAGTTAGCATTGTAAAGCCTGGCTGGGCGGAATAAGAGAAACGATGAAAGAAGATGGGCCAGTAGAGTAGAAAGAATTGAGTAGAGAAAAATATGGTTGAAGGATGAATGAATAAAATACAAAATAATCTAAATTGCTCTCTGCTCTGTTTGTATTTGGTTCAAAATGTTCTTGGCTAGACGGCAAAACTTTCCAATTCCATCCAATTAGTTTCTTTTCACATCGTCTTTTGTACTGGGTGACGTGAAATAAATGTCAAATTCTGAGCTAAACCGCGAAAAGATTAGTTCAATCGCGCCAATCCACTTTGTCATTAACCGATGCTTACGGGCAAAGTAGTTGGCGTCTAGAGTTACTATAGCGACAGTAGTTACTTATTAAAAAATATAAAGATCTTGAAGATGTCAGTAAAACTTTCATTGTTGTGCTTACCTCCATTTCGAGTGAAAGTGTTTGGCGAAGAGATTCGAAGGTCGGTTGCACCAGAAGACGACGGCGGATTCCTCTTGACCAGCTGTCGATTGGCTTTACTGAAACATTCTTGTTGAGGCTGTTTCCGAATTAGTTTTCTTCGATTCCGGTGAATAGATGCTGAGCTTTTGTCCGTCATATGACGAACATCATCAAGGCAAGTTAGCATCTTCACAACCAAATTCACCTTCCTACGACAGTTCCTCGCATTCAACGTATTTCCTAATCTATTAATTTTAATAGCCTCTCATATCTTTCTTTCAACAGCAGACGTACCACAATCAGCAAACTTATTATTTTGGATTAAGTATTGTTTTCGTGTCTACCAGTAAATCAGTAATATGAGATGTATTCACTTGATTTCGTTTAAGCTGATGAAGGACTAGTAGAAGAAGAATTTTCCCACCATCATGTGAGTTGAGCTGAAGTTTCCATTGAATTTCACATAGCCTTGCTTTCCCAAAAGTTATTTTCATCCATCGGTCTTATCAAGACCCTCAGCGGGAGTCGAACCGCGACAGTGCATGATGGGAGTTTGACATGTAAACCACTCGGCTACTCTGCCACGAGCGTCTTTTGGGTCACAGGTCAAATGTGAATTTTCAAGGAAGGCCAGGCTTTTATGCCATATCATGTTCTTTTGGTGGAA